AGCAGTTGTGGGACAGTTTTCTTATTAAGGTGTAAAATCAAGGAGAATATTCCATTATGATTGTTCCTATAGGTCATTGAACCTTAGTGGTTCATGTCTCTCCTGTTTTTCTTACCTTTCTTTCCTGGATTTTGTAGGAATATGTATCTATATTGGGACAACTGAGGTGAATGTTAATTGCCTTTTATTCCATGCACATGCCATGTACTCAGCATGGAAACTGCAATCTGAACCCTTTCAAACAGCATTCCCAAACTGCTCCGTAGGGCACTGCTGGAATGTGAGGCCACACTGAGTGTTTTGCTGCTGGTCTACAAAATGGGGCTGCAATTACATGATTTTCAAGGCAAAACTTGATAGGAAAAATAGAATTACCTAGGAAAAAAAAGTTATTCAGAACAGAGAATCTGAAATAATCTGCATTCAAGTATCTGTCCAAGGAAAATATCCCTCTGGTTTCTGTGCTGAATGGAATAACATTGGCTCAGGAGGATATTGGTAGGAACAAAATGGGACATTCTGATTTTGTGTGGTGTTGATGTGATGTTAGATGAACTAACCTGAGTGCCATAAGGATATTTGTCAGAGCACAAGCACTTAAAGCTGCTTTGTCCTGGGATCTGAGAGTGTTCAGGTGTCCTGGCAGGGAGATACTGCTCTGAGCTGTGAGCTGCCATGGCAGAGTGAGCATTCAGAACCAACCCTGCCTAAATCCTGCAGCAGGAGAAGCACCCAGCATGTGATTTTCATTAGTCCTTTGGGCTCCTCTCAGGTCAACTCCATGGTACATGAATCAAAGGGTAACACATGAATGAATCTCTCCTCACACACACTCTGGTGGGCTCAGTGCTTCGTTAGCACTGAAGCATGTGATTGGGTTAAGTCAGCTCAGGTGCTCTGAGTTTCCAGTGAGAGTTCTGATGAGCCATGCCTAAATCTGGGACTTCCTAAAGGGATGCAAAACTCCAGGAGCCAAATCAAGCTCAGGGCAGGTTGGTGTAAAACTGCCTCGCTCTGTTAATCTTCAGGAAATACCACGTTCTTGGAGAAGCACGTGGTGTTTGTGTTGTCTGGAATCCTCCTGGATTTGCCAGGAGGTTTGTGCAGCTCAGCTTGGGTTGATAGATGTGGCTCTGTGTCATTGTGGCTCTGTCCCTGTCACCCAGCAATGGGAACAAGGAGCCACCAGTGGGAACTGCAGGACATCTTGGGGCTCCCTCTGGCACACAGACTCACAGTGGGTTTGGTGGATAAACATCAGCTTTGCAGTTAATAGAGATGGTCCTGGAAAATGAGGATGCAGAGCTGCTCACCCAGCTGGTGTCAGAGCATTTTGAAATGCCTTACCAGACTCTGCAGTGAGGCAGGATGGCTGAGGTTTGGTCTGCAGCCTTGTTGTGTGTGGATGGGTATAGCCTTTTGTGTCTGTGGCTCCTCTTGGTGGAGAGGGAATTGTGCAGGGTGACAGGACCCTGTGAAACTACTCATGTCTGAGTCCCCTTCCTCTTTCTCATGGGGGAATTGCTGAGCCTCAAAAAGGTGGAAAAGAATTTTGCTAAGTAGCATGGACCCACCTCTGCCTCTCAGCATTGAAGCTGTGCTAGTGCAGCTTCACAGCCTGTTTGCACAGAAAGCTCCTGGAGTGTCAGAATCTCAGTGCCTTTCTGACTCTAACTTTCCTGAGATCATTGTCCACTCAAAAATCTGGGTGACTTTCAGAGCCTCAGGGATCCTCAGTAGCTCTGATGCCATCTCTGATGAAGTGATGCTTTGATTCCTTCCATAGATCAGGAACTCTCTTGTGAAATTGCCTAAATCTTCTCTGCCAAAAGCACTAGATGTGTAGCCACTGATGTTGATATCATAGGAATGTTGTGGTTCTGCATGGATCTGATGGAAAAGCAGTATCCAAGTGAGGGCAGGAGTGCTGGGAGGAGTATCAGTGCAGCCTTGGCTCTCTGACCCTCAGCCCTCTCCCCAAGCTGTGTTGTTTGCAAGGTTCTACTCCAGCAGTCAGAAGGCTCAGGAGTCGGAAGGAAGAAGATTCTAGGTGGAATTCTGATCCTTTGATTTGATGGTGAGGTTATTTTATTAAAACCCAAATGCCATCACCCTCACCAGCTCCTACCAGGATCATCAGTGTGTATCTGCTTCCAGGTGGAGTCATCCTCAACCCTCCCCAGAGCTGCTGCTCTTTCAGGATTGATTGAACTGGCAAAGGGCCATTTTTCCTTTCACCCCATCACTGTTCAGCAAACATTGGCTTCAGCACAAACATTTGGGGATGGAGGAGTGGTTTGTGTGCAGCAGGAAACGTCGGCCTTTCCTCTTTGCTTTGACTCCAGTGTTGCATTCCTGGGAAGAGTGAGGCCTGTGATGTTAATTCCATCCCTGGTGGACAGCAATCATCCATTCATAGAAGGAGCTCATGAGCTGGCAGGTCCTCACAGGGAGAAGGCCAAGGAGTGAGCACAGAGGCTGACTCTGCCCAGGGCTGAGCTCGTTGCTGGGAGGATGTGGGAGGCAACAGGGAAGATCCTTTAGATATTTGATTTCTAGACAACAAACATTTTCAAAGGCCTGGATGAGTGTTCTCCTTAGCCAAAGCCAACTCTGGAGGGGGGAGGGAACTTTGCCTCCCTGCAATAGTTCTGGTTCAGTGGTTGTGTTGGTTTGGATTAGAGCAGTGTCCACAGAAAGCAAACAGGAAGGATGGACAGCTGAGCTGGCTCCGGAGGCGGTTCAGAAAACATGGACAGACTGATGTTCCTAGAAGTCTGAGGTTTTCCTTTTCTCCTTTCCCCTCTTTTTCTCTTGTTTCTCTCCCTCCCCTCTCTCCTTCCCCCCT